ACTCTGGTTTCCATATTGATGTACAATATAAGGTGTCCTGTGGTCTCCCTACTGATGTAGGATATAAGGGGACCTTTGCTCTCCCTATTGATGTACGATATAAGTGATCTCTGGTTTCCCTATTGAATAACAATATACGGTATCTGCTGATCTCCCTTCTGATGTAGGATATAAGGGAACTTTTGGTCTCCCTATTGATGTACAATATAAGGTGACCTCTGGTCTCCCCATTGATGTACAATATAAGGAGTCTTCTGGTCTCCCTATAGATGTAGGATATAAGAGGACCTTTGGTCTCCCTGTTGATATAGGATATAAGTGGACCTTTAGTCTTCCTAATAATGTACAATATAAGGTTACCTCTGGTTTCTCTATTGATGTACAATATAAGGGGACCTCTGGTCACCCTAATAAAGGACCTCTGGTCTCCGTAATCATATTATACACAGCTTTGTGTGATCAGTGGTCTGCAAATGATGAACAATATAGGATGTCCTCTGGTCTCCCTGAAGATGTAGAATATAAGGGGACCTCTGGTCTCCCTATTGATGTACAATATAAGGTGCCTTCTGGTCTCCTTATAGATGTAGGATATAAGGGGACCTCTGGTCTCCCTATAGATGTAGGATATAAGGGGACCTCTTGTCTTTCTTTTGATGTACAATACAATGTGATCTCTGGTCCCCCTAATGATGAAATATAAGGGGACCTATCCGTATTCACATAAACTTTAAGTTACCTCTGCTCCCCACATAGAGAATATGGAAACATGAGGTTGTCTTATATTGTACATCAATAAGGATATCAGAGGTCAGACGAAGTGGTATATGAATCAGTAGACCAGAAGTAATCTTATATTGTTTATTATTAGGAAAACAAGAGGTCACTTGAAGTTATAAGGAGATAATAATTTTTAAAAAATGTGGCATGTGAAGAATTATTTTTCAAATCCACTCCAAACAAAAACTGAGACCCTGATCTTTTTACAGGCAAACAATTTCACACTTTCTCCAAATTAATTCTCTACATTTATGTATGATGATATTAGACAACTTTTGCTTCATATACCCTATATGTATCCCAGAAGCAATTGACAATGGGTCCATGTTTTTTTAAGTTTATTATTTTGGAAAATGTACTAGAAGTTTTGATTCGTTTTGAATTTGGTAAGTGTAAATTCCAAGAAAAGGGGGAGGAGATCTTCAGCCTCCATCTTCGCATGACAGGGCGTACATCTACTCTGTAAGATTAATATTAATCAGATGTTTACTAAAGTATTAAACTGATAAGGTCGCCTATTCAGGTATGACCTCAAAAGGGAGACCAAAGCACACCTAATATAATTTATTAAACAATAAATAATTATTCCATTATCTTTAAGGATCAGTGAAGAGTTCGAGCGGGGTGGTAGGCAAGACCTACAATGTATTTCCTCCCCCTGCTTGTTAGATCTGCGAATGCAGAGACAGGAGGTCGCCTACTCTGATATATTAATAAGGGGATCAGAGGTTAGGTACTGTGTTAAATAGATACTGTTGCCTTACATGGAATAATAATATCATTAGGGAGACCACAGGTCACCATACGTAATCCATTGCTGTATAACATATTTTATATTTTATAATATTGCAGTCAATGTTGCTCCCCCCCCCACCTGTATCTTTCCTAATATCAGATGATCATTCCTTTGACAAAAATAGATTTTCTGTTTGTTGTTTTACACTGTAAAGGCTTCACAGTAGTGCGATTTATTCTATTTTCACTTTACGGTTGCAATGCACTACATTTTGTCGCGGAGTAAACAGGTTTGATAGTTGTGAACTGAGCTGGTGACCTAAGGTCCTATTTGAGCGTACGTTTTATCCTTCTGCTATACATTATCAAGGCAACATTCTATCCTGGCGCAAATTACGTCACTTCCGTTTCCCATAGGACAAAGTAACCTACCCACAAACACACACACACACGATTGTTTTTTTTTTTTTTTTTTTTTTTTTTTTTTTTTTTTTTTTTTGGTTATATTATAAATATTTCTAATTTATATGTTTCTCAGCGTAGAATAAGATTTACTTTGAAAAAAGAAAACAAATTTCCTCTTCAGTCACACCAGTATTACAAGCATTTTGAACATCTTTCGTTTCTTGATGTGGGAATCTATCTATCACTTTCTATTGCAAGATTATGTGAACTTAATCTAATTCTACTAAGAGAGGATCTCTCAGATCTTTTTCTGAGTAAATCAGCATATGGACTTCTTTTTCTTGTTGATAAATTTTTATAAAATTCAAGTTTTTCTGAGCCAAAGATTTTTGACGCACCTGAGTGCACCGGTCAATGGTTCTTTATTTTTTGTTGGGTAATTGTGTTGAATTGAACCTTTATATTTTGTAATGTTTGAAAATCCCAGATTATCTAGAATAGAAATTACTTTCTTAATCCAAGAATTGCAGTTACTTGAGGATTGGTAAAGGTTAAAATCCAAAGAATCCGATTTTTTCAGGTGATTCTAATATTTAATACTCGAGAATGAAATTTTAGACCCAAGTGGTAGTCTTATAAGTTCTGCTAAACAACCTGCATTTGATGTTTTGCAGTGCACTACAAGGATATCTTTAATAAATTTTCAGTGAATTTTTTCAATATTTGAAATGTCTTTGAATGAGAGATCCACTCTTCATAGTTCACTACAATAGAGAAGAACTGAAAGTACAATAGCATCAAAAAGATTTTCTTAAAGCTTACATGGGTTATCAAAACCAATAATTCTTATTTTTAAACATGCCTTTCTAACTTTCTCAATAAGCACAGCTGTTGCTAATTTAAACCTCCTATAATTACATTTTATCATAATACCTAATTAAAAGCAGTATTTTGGTACAATTTGTGTTGTATTGTATTACCATTAAAACTAAATTCATTCCCTTGAGGTTTGCCTTTCGAGTTAAATATCATAACTTTAGATTTATCTACATAGACTTGCAGTTTCCAACTTGAACAATAGTTACTGAGAATATCAAGGCTGGTTTGTAAACCACTTTTGCTTTCAGAAAAGATTACAATATCATCAGCATATAACAGACAATTAACATGAATATTGTTTACTTGCACAGGATCACACTTTCCATTTTTAAGTCACTGACAATACCATCAATAAATACATTAAAGAGTGTGGGCTTAAGACATCCTCGTGTTTGACACCAATGTACTCAGAATTGAATGCATAACTTAATCCATCAGAAAATTTGATTTAACTCATTGTGCTACTATACATAGAAAATAAAATATTTAACATTTTTTGAGAAATATTAGATTCAGAGAGTTTATAAAATAAACCTTATCTCCATACAGTGTCAAACGCTTTTCTAAGATCGATCAATAAAAGCAGCATATACTTCTTTTTTAATTTTTGTAATCGTCAATTATTGTTTTAATAGAGAACAAAAGGTCTGATGTTCTACAATTTTCTTTGAAACCAATTTGATTTTCACTTATCGGTGATGCAGAGTTTACAAATTCAAGTAGCCTAGTATGGATTATTCTATTGAAAAGTTTTTCTAGATTTGAGGTAATTGATATAGCTCGGTAGTTGCTGGGATCAAGCCTATTACCAGATTTTTACAGCAATACTAAGTAGCTCTCATTCCAGCTTTTTGGGAATACACCGGAATTAAGTATAAAGTTAAGTAATTTTTCAAGAGGTTTCAACATTTCAACTTCCCCATTTTTTTTTTTTTTTTTTCAACATTTCATTTGATATCATATCCATGCATATGGAAGAACTCTTTCCATTTTTCAAGAACTTAAAGGCAACCTTTATTTCAGTGATAGTAATGTCGGGTTCAAGGAAATGATTATGGTGTAGTTTATCTTTCAAAACATGAAGTTTATCTATTATACTCTTATGAAAGTTATTGTGACTGTGGGCTGCTTTATTAAGTTTTTTTTTTTTTTGAATTCCTCAGGGTGAACATCATGAGATGAAATTTGCCCAGTATTAGTCTTATCTAATTTGAGTAATTCCCAGAATAACTTTGGATTTTTATACATAAGGACAGCCATTAGACACTTCTGGTCCAGAATAACTCAACTGAGCCCTTGATCAGTGCATGCTAAAAACAAACATTAAAGATTTTTTTCCAAATACTGCCCATCTTTTTTGGTGGCATAGAAAAACACAGAACAAAGGAAGGGCATAGGAGAATATAAACTGTCATCTAATAAATATCCAATAGTGGAGATTTGTTACGAAAAGAGAACTAGCTTTAATATTTCTAAACCTGCCTTGTACTCATTATTTTTGTTGTATAAATAATAGGTCAGTAGCGAGGACGTGTCAATTCTCATGGTTTATTGGATATTTAAAGAACTATAGAGTGTACATCAAATCAATCAAGTAAAAGACATGTTTTTCAAGTATAATATATTTCCATGATAGTAGTAAATAAAAATTATTAGGAAATCTGTTAAAAAATATTTCTGTTTATATACAAAGAGCAAAAATGAAATATATATATAAAGGATTTTGTAATGAAGACAATTCGTTATAATGTGACCTTGTTATAAAGATGTACAAACACTGTGGTGTAAGAGGTTCGATCATTCATTGGATTTCAGAACCAAAAATATATAATTAAACTAGAAAAAAAAAAAGTAAGTGGCAATAAGCAATATATTCCATTTAAATGCAGTTATTAAATGCAGATCGGCACTGGGTTTGCTTAAAATAGATTTAACCAATTTATAAAAACTCAGAATGTATAAAATGCGTTAAAAGGGAAATAACTCTCACAAAATAAAGAATTACAAAATTCATATAGAGACAGAAAGACCGACATTCAACAATTTTTAACAGAAAAAAAAACTCATTTGAGTGTAAGGATAAGTTGAGCTCAAAACCATCTTGCTACATGTACATAGTCAATTATCATTATGGCGGAAAGGGACTTTCTAAAGTTAGCAATGTTACTCCTTTGTTCTTCCTTTAATCATTTAAAACATTTTCAAAACTTTGACAAAACTTTTCGGTTTATGTATCTGTAACTAAAAAGGTTGTTTCGTTTGCCCTTTGATCCAACCCAAACCAAGTGATTTTCATAGTCATAGCAAATGCTTCGTGGCTCCTTTATGCCGTGTTTCTTATTCAACAGATATCGCAGGAAGCGTCCGTCTTTATCAATCATGTGAACGCTACTGGTATTGTAATCGCAAATAAGTATGTGCATTAAAGCGTCCGTGCATACACCATGTGGTGACAATCTTCGAACCGATGGAGGACCCTTGTAAGAAAAACGGTGTTTTCCGTTTCGATTTACCACCACTACGCCATACCACAAATCAGACACAACGACGTCACTGTTCTGATTCTCTGTTATGTACAAAGCCTTTTTATAAAGCGATTCACCTGTTTCGTCGTACTGAAAACTCTGAATATGTCTTCCTGATCTATCAAACCGGGAAACTATTGAAGTATCTGTATCACGTCTCCACATTCCTATCAACAAATTTCCATTTAAGAAGGAGCAAAAGACACTACAAGGTTGCCAGGGCTTTGATTTCCTTATCAAAATTCTTGATGTTGTTTCCTCCTTTTCCAGTTCGCAGATATTATGTTTTTGGTCTATAAAAATCATATCTTCTGTCTTGGTTACCGAATGGACATACGGAAACTCAGCGCCAGTTAAAAATCCTTTCTGACGAAATAGCGTTTCCCCGTTTTTAAGGACAAGGAGAAGTTTTTTGTGATTACTGATCCAGAATCCGTCTGATGACGCACAGGGAATATGTGAAATTTTTCGTATATCATCCACATCAATTGATTGTTTCAATGCTACATCAGGCAAAACTTCAAAAAGACACTCATTTTCAATTTCTGGTTTTCCCGTATTCATATTTTCCATTTCTTCAAACATATTGATTACATTTTGCATGTTTACAGCATACAGAGAAATACTACATATAGAAAAGGAATAAAGAAATACTGGAGATTTTTTCAAAAACGACAGACATTGCACTGGCTTATTAGCATATATCTCAAACTTATCAATTGACTTTTGTAAAACAACAACTTGTTTCTTCAACTGATTTACGTTTTTTACAATTGTATTCTTAAATCCAAATTTCAAATTTTGTACAGAATCCAACGCTCTTTCCGTCAACTTCAGTTGAGTTTCCAGTTGACATCTTAATATGCTTGAGGATAGTATCTTGGTCCTAATTTGTGCTAGCAAAGCAATATTATAAGGTAGAATTGTACTTCGCATCTTGGAAATATTTTCTCGGCTCTGGAATATACCTCGTTTATATGCTCTTTCAAGTAAATTCGTTCCATGCCTCCTATGTCCAATACAATGTTTACACAAAGGACATTTACATCTCCGACACCAATAAGCATAAACATTTTTTGGATGTATTTCACATGTTTCCTCACACATAGCATCTCCATATTTTCTTTCAGTAGTAATCACATTGTGAAAGGAAGAGTCAAGATCTATCAAATGTTTTTCTTTGCAAAGCAAACAAAATGCCTTTTTACATTCTTTACAGTAGTATTCTGCATTCTCGTTACACCGAAAGTAGCGTCTGATCTGAGGGACTAATGTTCCTTCCATGATGATGATGTTAAATGCATAATTCGTCGATGTATCACATACCCCTGCTGTCAGTTTCTTGTTGATTTGTCATCTCGTATAAGTTTTAAAAATTTAATAAATTATCTCCAATCTTTCTTAATAAAACATAATTTTCCTTTTCTTATGTTTGCGGAAAAAAGAATATTTTAAAACTGCATCGTTTCTATTCTTGAATGAAAAAGAAAAAGATAACGAACAGTGACCGATCTCAAAAATCCTTTAAAAAAATACAAATATGTTAGCAGGGCATAAAACATGGGCCCTCGGGAATTCCAGATGTGGAATCAGGGGTCTAGGAGAAGTAAGCATCCCCTTTCGACAGGTTATATCCAGAGTGAGCCCTATGATCGATCAGGAATACGGAATATTCCATAGTAAAATTAAGTACTAGTATGAAAACAAAAGCCTATGAAATATGTTAGATAACATGGCAAACGCTTTGGAGTCTTTTATTTCATAGTGCAAATAAAGGTGCTAATAAAAGAACACAATTAGTGTCCGTCGGAATTTAAAACGTTTGTTGGAAGATCTAGTATTCAAACACTATATAGATGTTGTCAATGAACAGCTCCAAGATCCTTTTAATATAAATTTCAGAGTAATTGTCTGTATAATTGGAATGATTTTAAAACCCATTTCTTCTAAAATACAGTTAATTAATGATCCTTACAAAAAAGACGTTATTGTCTGCTGGAACCATAACATATTGTTTATGTTGTCTTCCAAACTCTTTAATCACCTATAGTTATCAATTGGAAACGGGCGTCTAAATTTGTGGAATGCAGACGAGTACTCTTTTATCAACATTTAACAAGGGCCATAAGTGCATAAGATTGGTAACACATAACAATAACTTTAAATTCGCTTCACTCTCAATTCCGAGTCAGATACGAGTATATCTGAAAATAAACTCGCAATTAAAAAAAAATGATAACAGTTATATCTATTTTTAATTCTGTATATTACAAATAAAAAAAGGATTTAGCAACACGCAGAATCTGTCCCTTTAAAACTAGCTTGCACGCAATTGTTGCGCACAAAAATATAATTATGTTCTTATTCAAGATTTTCTTTTTTGGCTGTACTGTCTATTTACAGAATCAATGAAGAAATCTTCGAAAACAAATTGTAAATGTTTTCTAAAGAAAAAAAAAGATTTAAATAATATTGAATTTTCTTTTAATTTTTCAATTTTGTTATTCTTTATCCATTATCCTTTTACATGAAAGTTATTCAATTGTTATAGATTATTCTATCAATTTCCCAGTCTAGGTCATGAACAAGAAATGACTATATTTTAAGGGAAGATATTAAACAATTGAAACAAATCCAAGATCAAAGACCTTCATACAGACGAGTGAAATATCATTTTTATCCTTATTTAAATTTAATAAAACACCAGAATTGCATGTATAGCCTTTAGGTTTAACATGCAATGTAACATTATTTTTAAATAACTGAACAGAGCCAAACGAATAGTTATTATTTTGAAATGAAGACATACAATCAGAAAGGGGGATCAAGATGTACAATGTAACAGCTATTTTTCAAAATTTGATAGATTAAGAACCTCACAATTTTAATTTTCATATTTTTAAAGAATATTTTCTTAAATATTGAGAGCATTCATAAAAAAAGAAAAAAAAAATGAAATTTATCGAAGTATTGCTTGATTATGATTTTATAAACACATACACTACCTCATTGAGGCCCTGCATAGAACTGCTCGTATACAACAGAGATTTAATCTTCCAACAAAGTGTGCATGTAAATATATACCAATAACATGCAGTCTTTCTGCTAAGCTCAGTGCAATTCGTATTTGCTGATGCCCTTACAATCTATTTGAAAGAGATTGAAAATGACAGCTCAATTTCAAGGAGAATAAAAATTTAGTGACTTAATTGAAAGTAAAATGGCATTATGATTTCAGATAAAATTCTCAATTGAATTCTAAATTGTATACAGCATATCAGATTTCATTTTTTTTTTGTCCCATGAATTTCATGCATTCGGTCGTATTGTTGTTAGATTGAAAGGGTGTGCTGTGGTGTAATTAATTCCTTTACATCATTTTACCTCCAAATTGTCCTGTTAAAATAAAAAAAAATCAAAAATAAATTGTTCACACAAAACAAATATGCAGCCAACCATAAGACTGAATTAACTGGGGACAGTGCGGTAGGCGTATTCCAATCTTCTGACATTATACATTTAACAATGCAATGGGAAGTATAGGCTAAAATAAAATGCTACCTGTATACTTTATAGTGAATAACCTCAATTAAACTGATCTGTGAGCGTTGAAAAAAAACGTTCTGTCAACAGAAACCACGCCCTCCATGTTGTTTATATCTACAATGTAGCAACAGGAAGTAAGTCTAAACTACGCATATTATTAGTTACACAGCTGGTTTGGGACATATTACGGAGTCATCCAGGGTGTTAAATGGGCGAGCATAGGTATCGGAACGTGATGGGGTGGGCTGGGGTGGGCTGGGGTGGTTTAGGGGATTTAGCCCTTCCCCCCACTTTTTTGCAAAGATAAACATAATATAGGCATTGAAAATTAGGGCTTAGCCCCCTAAAGTCGGGTCTAACCATTTCATACCCAGTAGACTCCTTATAACGTCCCAATCTAACTATATAATTTAATCCGCTGAAGACTTTTACAAAATATTAGAGGCCGTTTTGGTATTTATTGCCATTTAGTGATATCACCTATTCGAGAATATGATGTCACCTATTCGAATATTCATTGAATAGGTGATATCACGTATTCCAATAGGTAATACCACTTATTCGAAAAGGTGATATTACCTGTTGGTTTGTTTTTGTCTTTTTTTTAGAGAGAGAGAGAGAAAAAAAGGAAACACGCTCTCGCGAGCTTGTCTATGTATTATTTTAGATTATGTGTAATTTTTTTTAAGTGGTGGTAAATAATAGTATATTCATATTTAATTATGCTACTTAAGTTCTAATAACTGCATTCATAGATATGTTTCACCAATTTTTTCACTTCTTATAGACCACTTAGTTTTTTTTTATACATCTAGTAAGAGAGTTTTACATGTCCTTTACAATGCATGCCTAGTTTGCAATTTCCCATTTTTTTAAGCTTATATATACATTGATTTACGTGTTCTGTGTCAGCTTGAAAAAAAAATTCAAGAGGCTTTTCAGTAATGATGATCAATCAAGGACAGTCATAGTTTGGTCATTCATTGTTGTACACAGTTTTTTTTTTATAGGATTACCTCGACAAAGGAATGCATTTGTTGTGGATCTGCTATTGGACGTGCCTGCTATTTGGACATTCATCATGTGAGTGCCGTTTCTAAAGCAAAGGAGCCTCTATTCAGTCTATAGCTTCCCAACCAAATGAAGAGTTCAGAGAATTGGATGACAGTGAACAATGTTTGGGAGATGAGAATGGGGAATCCTCAGAGCTCTTCATCCAAGATGGATGCCCATTTGACAACATCAAGGATATATTGATAAATCTTTATATCAATTGCCCCTGTTGACAAGTACGCATGACCTCTCTTTGATATCATTTCATGATCATATTGTTAACTTAAATGTACAGTTTTAATTGAGATATACTTTTGACGTAGAAATTAAAATCGTGAAAAATTTTTGATATGTGAATAAATGAGGAACAGTTTGAAATCTTGACAATTAATTTGCCTGTAAGAACTTCGAAATATTTTGTTAACAATCCTTACGCCTTTTATCCCATTTGTATTTTACAGGGATTGGGCTGACACATCAACGATTCTTTGCACATATACATGTATTTATAATTACATGCATTGTTTCGAAGATAGGATGTGCAGGGGTAGTGCATTTGCATAACAAAACTAACTTTGATCTAGTTTTAAAGCTTTATCTATTTTCGATTCTCAGGTCCTACATCTGTCCAGTACCAGATTCCCATCACTGTAGGACAAAATTCAAATGACAAAACAAACAGGTCCACGCCCTCTCTCTCATTTGGGTCAAGACATTGGGATGGGTATAAAATGGGGCCAAAACTCCCATCTTTAAAACCACCGTAATGAGTTTTACAATTAGGTTTACATTTTATTTACACATTCATGAAATTTATACTTATATTAAATTTCCCTTACAAAAACAATATTTGAAAAAAAAAAGATCATTATTAAGCAAACAAATTTTGGTTTTTTTCTGCATGTAAATGCAACATTTACTTGTGAATGCTTATCGCATATTGATTACACTTTAAATTGAACAATTGAAACAACAATTAAAACAAC